AAAGTACAAAAAATATGAAAATCAAGTTGAACTTGCGGTTGAACCGAGAACTGATCCTCAGATTGGTTCAACTAAAAAATCGGTCTTTAAAACATTAGCGATTAGATCTCAAAAGCCATTTTTTTGAGTCTCTTCTCCACAAAAGAGGATTCATTCTTTTATATGGATTCATGTTGCCTCTCCTTTCAACTCCAACGACGCGTCGAAGCTTTCAAATTCCCTGAAGCGTTCATAGAGCCTCCCAAATTTGAGTTGGCCAGACTTACACTACAAAAGAAAGTCTGCCAAAAAAGCAACTTCATTTCCATCACGAGATGGATTGTGTAAATTCTTTGATTCTATACATATCCATCAAAATTCTTTCTTAATTTCTTTTCTTCAGTTTAACTGTCAGATTAGTAGTACCAGTAGATTAAAGTCAATAAATAAAGAACCCTACAATAACTTGTATGTTAAAACACATATATCCATGAAAGATTTATCATAATATTTACTCCAATTCTACTTTATTTTAAAATTTTGAACCCATATACGATGGTTCTTCAATTCGATCGCCTGGATCCTAATTGAATCTTGATCTGAATTATCATATTCAAGACTTCCCTTCCAAGTTATTTTTTATTTGTGAATAACCATGAAGTGGGGGAGAAACTCTAATTATTTTGAGTCTTAGAATATGTGAAAAAGATAAAAGATAAGCAACCAAAGTCATTGCTAAATTGGAGAAGCATGGATTGATGTATACAAAACTACTTTTAAGGTTATTTCAATCCACTACAGAGTGAAGAAGCTTGGGAACAACTCTGAATGGAGGGGGAATATTATTTAACATAGTGATGGAATAGAGGATTGGTTGGTTTTCAGGTTTGATTTACCCCATATAAACGTCACATAAACACACACACACACATACACAACCACACACTCAATCTCAGCTTATAGCAATGTCATGTTTCTTTTACTCGTTGCTAAATTGGAGAAGCATTGATTGATGTATACAAAACTAATTTTAAGGTTATTTCGATCCGCGCTAAAGAGTGACGAAGCTAGGGAACAAAGCTGAATGGAGGGAGAATATTATTATTATATAAAAAGGATTATATATATATATATATATATATATATATATATATATATATAATGAGTTCCAAAATATGTAAATTTATTTAAAAGAAAAAAGAAAGATAACCAAATAAAAAAGTTTGCCAATGCTTCAAAACTGACCACATGAAATCAAAAGCATCTAACCAATAACATTAAGGTTTTGTTTGGCCATCGATTTACAAGCTAGTGTTTAGCTTATAAACCAGCTTATCAGTAAGTAAGTTATATTAAACCACGATAAATTATTATTATGGTTTTATCAAATGTTAAATTACAATAAACTAGCTTATAAACTAAGTGATTTTCACGAAATAAGGCTTAAATAAGTGTTTAAACTTCTTTTTCAAAAATAATTTCATAAATAAACTAAGGTTTTGTTTGGCAAACTAACTTATAAACTAGTTTTTACCTTATAATCTATCTTATTAATAAGTTATTTCAAGCTACATTGTTAATAAGCTAGCTTATAAACTAAGATAAACTATTTTTATGGTTTTACCAAACGTTAAACTATAATCGGCTAGCTTATTTTTGCCAGCCATGGTCTAAATTAATATTTGCAATAAAATGCGTTCATGCAAATATTTGAACATGAGTTGTTTGTAAATCATGGGTGATGCTTATCCAATGAAGCTAAACTTAGTTTTGGATCATTTTTATCATATATATAATGTATATCAACTTTAACATACAAAAAGTTAGGGCCCCAAATAGTTAAGCGGCCCTAGGTCGTCGCCCAACTTGGGCCATTCCTTGGGTCGGGTCAGGAAGGATTTGAAGGAAGAAAAGAAAGAAAACAAGCATTGCTTCACGTTGCACTACCTTATGGAAGCCACGTCGTGGAGATCGTGCTACCATCGAGATGTGTGCATGATGTTGAGATGCTGCCATGCCACCACCATACCGGTGGCGTGGTGAATACTCGTAATAGCCTTATAATTTACCCCATACTTCAAGTTGCGCCCCTTTGCGAACAAGGGGATCAAAAGGTCAACCAGGTTCACTTTAAAAAGTTTGAGACTAAGATGGTGTTTGCTTTTTGTTAGAAGCTCTTGAGATTTTTTTTTTCTAAAGTTGGGAGACCTTTTTGCTGAAGACTTTGATTTTCTAGAAAACTACAAATCTAAAAAAGGCTACACGTCATCTTCTTGTATAAGACATGATAAAAACTCTTCTAAATCTCACAGACCTTCTAATACTGAAACAACCAGCCTTATTTTTTTACAGTTTCTTCTTCAACGATTTTCTTCCATATCCACCACCACCACCTTCGTCGCCACACCCCCTCCGCATCACCATATCCACCTTCGCCACCTCCACCATCTCTGTTGCTGCCACCACCACTACATCCTCTAACTCTGTTGCCACCACCATCACCGTTGTCACTACAATCACCACCACAACCACCACCTTTGTTGACATCTATGCCACCACGAGCGAGGATGTCATCACCATCTCTACCACCATCATCGTTGTTGCCACTGCCATCTCTACCACCACCATCACCACCACCTCTATTATCTCCACCATTGCTACTGTCTTTAACTATCATCTATAAATCAATAGGGTTAATGTGTGTATGTATAATTGTATATATGTGTTTGTTTTTATCATTTATGATCAATATGGTTTAATATAATTTATTCAACTTATAGATTATAAAAAAGAATCAATCTTTTTTTAACTGTAAACGTTTAATTCACATATTCTTCTGTAGGTATGATTTTGTAGACTACAAACGTTTACCTCTTAAAAAATAAAAACACCTAAGAGTGCGACTAGCCATAAGTCATCTTTCTCAGGTGCACGAAGTCGACCACAGATGGTCACAATTTGACGAAGGTATCACCGGTACCACTGGAAAATGATTCTTAGATAGGAGGGTATGAGTGGGGGGTTTCCCTCACTTTTGTGGGTCACACCACCATTCCTCTTACTTTCCTTTCCCTCACCTAAAACCAAGTTTCAAAAAAGCTCGTCATGGCTCCGCCATGGCACACCACGACTCCAAGGTTTGCACATGCCGTCAAGCTACGCCTGACAATTGGGTTGGGTTTGGGTTGGCAAGTTGACGGGTCAGAATACATTAACCCAACCCAAACCATATAATATATGGTTTGGTGGGTTGGCAGGTCACAGGTTGGCAGGTTGAAAACATCAACCCAACCCAACCCAAATAACCCGTATAAGTATATGGGTTCGTGGGTCAGTGTGTCGAACCCAACCCGTTTAACCCAATTTAATAACCAACACATTTTAAAATAAAATTAAAAAATACAAATAAAATGAACTCATAAAGTCTTAAATATTCAACATAAAGTCATAAACAGGAGTGACGACGATGAGTGGTGTGCGACAGCCAGAGGACGAGAAGACAAGTGGTGTGCGTGCGACACTTCGACAGTCGATGACTCGATGCTTCAATTGACGGAGACGGGAGACACGGAGTCGTGAGTTTGGAGACTAAAGATTGAATTTCCTTTTGATTAGGGGCTAGGGGACGCTAAGTTGACTCGAAGATGATTTGCAGTTTTGGAATTCGGAAGACCATTAAACAATAATCAAATATTCAAAACGAATAAATAATTAAAGTATTTTTTTAAACATAATATATATATATATATATATATATATATATATATATATATATATATATAATCGGGTTGGCGGGTTGACCCGTGAACCCAAACAGGTAACCAAGCCCAACCCATGAAATAAACGGGTTAGTGGGTTGGCAGGTCAAAAAATCTCAACCCAAACCCGTCTATTTTTCGTGTTGGATCAGTGTCGGATTACGTGTTGGGTCGAGGATTCCACCCCTACGCCAAGCTTTGTCAAAACGCCGTTTTAACTCATATGTGTGTATAAAAATGAATAATAGTTAAAAATACATATAAAAATATTAATTACATAGAAAATTGCCGCCTTAAGTTACGTTTTACAAACGTCATGACTCGCCAAGGTTCGGAAAAGTTTGAGGTTTGACATTGCCACGAAGTCATATCTTACGTTATTTAAAACCTTGCCTAAAACCCAATGAATTGGTGGGAAACTTCCCTCACTATTTTGTTTTTTTTTTAATAAAATTAATTGATTGTAATGATAATTGGAATATAAAAGTATAGTGTCTATTTTGTAATTTTCGAAAACTATTTTCGTGAAGAATTCAGAGCTTAGTGTATTCTGCCATAAGACCAAAACACAGGGGTTAAATATGCCGTTTCCAGAAACTTCCCATATTCTTCCTTCTTCCTCTTTAAAACCTGCAAACTAAAAAAAAAAAAAATCAACCACTAACAAGAAGTGAGAGTGCGAAACCCATCCCCCCACCCAGTAGCGGATGTAGAGGGTTTTAGTGGGGTGCATGCACCCCACTTAACATGCTTTTATTCATATATTTTATACAGAAAAATCATTATTAAAATTGATTTTCAATTAATGGCCCCCATGATAATAATAGTTGTACTATGTACCCCAGTTACAATAATCTCTAGATCCGTCACTGCCCCCACCTCCTCATCGCGCCTCCTATCTTGCACTACCGGTGCGGTGTTCCTCCGAACATGAATGACTCTCACACATCTTTCCCACTCCACTTCGTTCGGGCCTCCCACCAAAATTGAGGGTTGAGTATGAGCTTGGAGTCGCGGCTCCCACTCTCTTTCTTTTTCTCTTCTCTACTTTAATGGATTTTTAATTTTTAAATACATATTAAAATGTTTTTTTTTCTTTTCTAAATACAAATTAAAATGCTTTCTAGCTATATTTTATACAATACATACACTGGTCCCATTGGGGTCTCTGTTTCTAATTTTATATTGTCCAAAGAAAAGTAGGTGACCCGTGCATCTATATTTACAAGAGACTTCCTTGTAGAAAAACAATTATGATGAACCTATTGATTAGAATATCTGTGTCAGTGACAAATTTCCCCATTTTGGATTTCGATTCAACTAACACCTTGTATGTTCACCGGAGATGCGTTTTCGTAGTTCATATTTGGCGATAAATTTGTTGCTCTTTGGAGTTCATGTTTTGATTTGAATGAGTATTTATGTTTTAATTTATTAAATCTGTTTTGTCTTCAATTTGCAAGCAAACCATGTGTTTTATAGGCTATAGCTATAGGTTTCGTTTCCCTTGATCCTATTTGGGTTACAATTCAAATTCAATTAAAGAGGTTTTGTTTGAGATTTCTGCTTTTTCTTTCAGATAATTTGATGACCAATTACAACCATGGATACATTAAGTAATGATCTTTTCTACGATATCCTAAGACGTGTAGATGGTTCAACCCTAGCAAGTGCGTCGTGTTCTTGCGCAACATTTAATACCATCTCAAAAGAAGAAAGATTATGGGAAGATGTATGTTCTTCAATGTGGCCTTCAACCAAAAGAGACGATGTGAAAACTTTAATATCATCAACTGGTGGGTTTAAAAAGTTCTATGCAGATTGTTTCCCTCTGATAGTAAACAAAGATGTTAACGTTCCTGAGTTTCCAGAAGAATGGATGGAGGATGAATACTATGGCGAAGAAGATGAATTAGAAAATGTTTCACCTTCTGATTTTGTGTCGCTAGTGGATATCAGATATAAAGAAAAGACTATATGTTCTAAAGTCATTTGGGGGATACCGAATGCAAATGTTTACAATGGTTGGTTTTCCGATTGTCCTTTCAGAATCGATCTTTTTGCATATTCAGATAGAAATATTGATGATGATGATGATGATGATGATAATGATCATGTAGGTATGTCTATCTTCCCTTTCGATTCCCGTTCTATAAGAAATTTTGTTTTCGAAACATTTGATTATGTTTCAAGAAAGTAATATAAGAAAAATGTATTTTCGTTTTTTTATCATAAGTTTAGTTCAACATCACAAACTTTTTTTCATATAAAAACAATTTTTTTTCTTACTTATTTGGTAAATAAAAAAGCAACTTTAGAATTGCTGAATTCACGACAAAAAATATAATAAAGTAATTATATAAGTGGGCCAGCTCTGAAAACATGATATTTTTGTTAAATGTAGTGTGTAGACTAATGAAACTTTATGATGATTTAAAATTAATCATATAACGTTCATTTAATCTCGTGTAGGGGAAGTAATTACTCTTTCTGTTTCCGACGGCTTGCCACCTGTCACCTCCCTTGAAAGAGAGAGAAAAGATGGGAAGCTATGGCAAGAGCTTCGTGATGGGATCAAACTGAGTTGGATAATCGTTAATTCAAAAGCAAAACAAGCTGCAAATTTATCAAGTTGGTGTGCACTCGATGGTCAAAGACATTGGCCAACAAACAAAGATTTCTTGTTACAATTCGGATCCGTTGTACCTGCCAAACATATTCTTCCATGTCGGGTAGTTAAATGCATAATAGCAATGAAGATTCGAGTGACAGATGTTGAGGGTAGTGGGACCCACACAACGTTAAATTTGACCCAACTTTGTATGCAATTGGGTGACATGGAAGGTGTTCACGTTAATGGTAGAAACAGTTTGCTTGTGCTTAAAGAAGCATTGAGATGTGATCGTAGCAAGAATTATAGTCTGGTGGTGGAGTCTTGTAGGTTGTACGCGAAGGTTCAGAGTGAGATTATAGAAGAGAAGATTAGACATGAAAATATGTTGGAAAGACTCCATATTTTGGGTAGTATTATGGCTTTTGTATTGTTGTGTTGCTACTTTATGTGAAATAGAATAGAATATATAGTGTGACTTGGGTGCACCAAGGTTTTGACTGTATGGTCAACAGGCCAAGGGTTTGACTTTCGAGTCATACATTTGAAAATAGAGAAGTTGTTTCTTCTATCTAGCAAATGTGATGTATAGTAAAAGTTTTACTAAAAAGAAATTAAATTATCTCGTCGTGATGTATAGTAAAAGTTTTAGTAACAGTCTTTTATGCTTATAATTATTTCTATCCATTAAAGTTATGACAAATCACCATTTAATTTAATTTTATTTGATATATTTCTAATATAGTTTTAATGAGTTAGTTAAAAAGAATATGAAATAAAGACACTTATCATAATTTGATTGACTAAGAATATTTATAAACATAAAAAATAAAAAACAATTTTAAAAATAAGAGATTTAAGGTCGAATTATTGTACATGGAAACTTGGTGCAAGTAGAACATGTCGACTATGGTGATACATCAATAGACAACAATTTTAATTAACAACACCTGTTATTAGTCAGTTTTCACATAAATTGAATTGAAAACATAAGTAGGGATGCTTTAATAGTAACATAAATTGTGAGAAACAAAAATGGATATTTCAAATTTCAAATAGTTGGCTACCGACAAGCAACATTATCCGTATATATAATAGTTTCCTTTTGAAGATTTTACAACACAATAAATATTTTTATAGCGTGAATTACAATTTTGGTCCATGTAGAATGCACATCTTTGTAGGTTTGTTCTCAGTTATAAAAAATTGATACCACAGGTCCTCGTGGTTTCTAAATTTTATAGTTTTATTCCCTTCAGCTGTTAACGTCCATACAATTTCGTTAAGTATGTACCAAATGACAAAAATCCCCATGTTTTATCCTTTATTGTATTTTGAAATTTCTATTTTTTCAAGTATCATTTATGTAAAAACTGAAAATAAGCCTTATAATCTTAAGGGAGCATTGGGTTTCCAAAATTTTTCTAAAATGAATGTACAGTCAAAGGAATTGGAGTTTGAATGAATTGGAATCTAAATGATATGAAATGAAATTTGTTTTTTTGTTTTGTTTGCAAATTTGTCAAATAAATTTGAAAGCAAGTTATCTAATATTGACTAAAATAACATTTTATTGAGTTTTTGTAACTTATTATTATTTTTAATAAAAATGATAAAACTTTCATTAATTAAACTCTTACCCACTCAAATCTATGTATGCTTGTTGGTGTGCATGTCCATGTTGGTGTGGAGTGTAGGTCCTAGGATGGGTAGGGTGGGCATATAGGCATGGACTTGTGGTTGTAGGTGTAGGGGTGGGTGAGTATGTGCGAGATGATGATGTTTTGATTTTATGAATCATGGATAAAATAAAGACAAGATAAGAGGACATTTTTGTCTTTATAAAAAATCATAAGAAATGGAATCGAAAATCTTTATCTTTAGCCAACGAATGACCATTTTGTTAAGACGCAAAATTTAATGGAAGTTAAAAAATCCCAACCGATTTGATTTTGTCAACCAAACACAAACTTTATTGGAATTTACATTCCACCAAATTTAATTGGACATTGTGAGACAAACACTCATTAACACTCTCATTCCATCAACCACCTCTCAATTTTGTTAGACCAATCATTGCCTCCATTGAGACCACCTTAACCTCTGGCGACCTCAACGAAGACTATCTTAACCCTTGCCTACATCATCTCTCTCTCTTTCTTTCTCTCTCTCTCTTTCTCTCTCTCTCTCTCTGTGTGTGTGTGTGTGTGTGTGTGTGTGTGTGTGTGTGTGGTGACACCACCTCCATCTCTACCGATGCAACACTACCATCTTCATTGTTATATTCTCCCCCACCACCATTAAACCTTCTCAACCTTTCATCCTCTTGTTAGATTTGGATTTTGAATATTAATATAATCACTTGGATAAGTCAAGGATTGTGTATGAGAAACAATTTCCAGAATCTATGATTTTGACCCAATTGCATGGGGTATCACGAAATCCGATTTGGAATATGTGACATCCCCAAAATCACGGCCAGAAAAGACCGGTTTGTTTATGCTTTGTTTAAAAATCAGAGTAACATTTTAAATAAAAGTGTTGCGGAATTTGTCCTAAAACAAAATATGATAAAGATTTATCAAAAGCATTTCCATAGAAATGTATTTCATTAAAAGACTCGGGATGTCATGTTCGTACAGATCAAAAGCATAAACAATACAATATAAGCCTTACTACATTATTTCATATCTACAAGCCTATATCCGTAATCCCTCGTCCAAACATCATATCTATGCTCAAGCTCCACTACCTGTAATACATAAAACTGAGTGGGTCAGGCTTGGGAGCCTGGTGAGCACATATGGTTTTCAACCCACAATAAATAAGTTTATTAATTTCATCAATCAACAATAACCCGATTACCCGTTCCCGTTATCCTCACTTTACGTCCCTAAATACCTATCATAAGGGACCTAGCCTAAGGATCATCATCGGGACGGACACTACTGCTTAGGGGATTCCTCAGCAATATTGTCCTAATAGGCAACCATGTGGGGGATGGAGTACACTGGTGAACACATTGTTCACAAACACCTACAGGTTGCGAGCCTGCTAGTGTTCCACTGGACTGTCTAGAAGAGTCCGTGGTCGTCATCCATACTCCGCTAGATGACAGAATCAACAACATCAACATCGAGGCCTCTCATCATTTTATCACACATCACCTATTACATCTACCCAAGTTTTACCCCAATATTTTCGTAGATATAAAATACATATACATTTTAAATCATTGTAAACATGTATAACAACGTTCATCCAGCATAGATAGCAAGTATTCAGATAATATGCACACATAGCACGTAATTTATATAAAATACTTCATATCTATGTGTAAGCTGAAAGTAACTATGCACTCACCTGATTAGGTGGTGACTCAGCACTCGGATAGCGCTTCGATACTCTCAAAATGATATTCCTTCGATAAAACCTAGTATCGATACCACTAGGGTTTAGTTTAACGATAACCGCGACAAATTAATTAGTCCGAGTATTATTAAGCGTTAATAATACTCGATATATCTCATAATAATAGCCCAAATAATTATTTTAACGACCTAATAACATTCCTATAATTATTTGAAAGCTATATTAAAAATTGCGTAAGCGTAGCACACTTACAGCGAATTTTATCGAAAACCGGAACTTAATTGGAGCAGCGTTTCGAAACCGAAAAACTCCTCTTTCTCGGGACTCCGGGAGCCTCGGGGCTTCCTTAGGGTGCTAAGGGTTTTATCTAGGGCTTAGGGGTGGTTTGGGGTTGTAGAGAGAGAAGTGAAAAAGGTGTGAAAAATGAAGAACCATCGGCCTCCTTTTATAGCCGTGCGAGGCCTCGGTACGCTGGGCGTACCTCGGACCTACGCGGGGCGTAGCCATCGGATAAGAGCGCCAGATCGACTCCAGCTGTTAGCCACTTCGGACCGGATAAGACCGAGGTTACGCGGGGCGTTCCGGATATCGTATGCGGGGTGTAGGGCGAGGTTTCGTGGCATGATCTGAAGCGAGATCTGAGACCTTCATCGGACGGCCCACAACGCGCCACGTCATCAGTCTCGCACCGGGTTTCGCATTTTCATACTTCAACTTTAAGAATTCGTAACTTTCGTGTACTACCTCCGTTTTTGACATTCTTTGTATCCACGCGAAGGTGGGAACGTACTCTACAACTTTCGTTTAGGCTCCGTCGGCTAATTTTGGCTCGATTTTAAATTTTATATTATTAACGGGTCGGGACACGATTGGTCCGTTAAATCCTCATAACCTCTTCATCCGACATCCGTTTTCGCCCATCTTTTTCTCATTACGCTACTCTCAACGAGATCTTCGATTCTCGTTTAGGTCATGTCGGCTAAAAACCGCTCGATCTAATATTCGAATTTCGGACTGTACCTGCTATTCCGAAACTTCGAAAAATCATAACTTCTTCATACGAAGTCAAATTTGGGCGTTCTTTTTATCGATGTTCTTAGTTTAACATATTCTACGACTTTTGTTTAGATCGCTAAGGCTAAATCTCGCTCTATCGTAAATTCACTATTCACGCTTCCCGGTATCGTGCTGGTTCTGTCGTGAAACTTCGACGGGTCATAACTTCTTCGTTATAACTCGGATTTCGGCGTTCCTTATATGCACGGAAACCTTGAGACATATTCTACAACTTTATGTAGAGATATCGGGATTATCTCACACTTTAATTTTGACGCTCATTTTTCTATTCTTTATTAAATATATATTTATAATAAAGTAATAAGCACACAAATACACATAATTCACATAGAATTAAAATATTTCATCTTTATTACATCAAAAAGAGTTACAATAGTTGACCTAGACCATTACATTGGCAATTATGCTTAGCCCTGAAACCCGGGCGTTACAGGATAATCCAAAAACAAATCAAATTGGAATACAGACCTATTCCAAATTTTGAAACACAAAAATTCCGTGCAATTGAATGTGTTTTCGAGAGACAAAGTGCAAAGAAAAGAAGCAGTTATCTTTATATGTCTTTTGCAACATTCTAACCTTCTAGATATACATAGAAGACGACAATTTTAAGAGTGAAAATGATGCCCCAAGGAATGGATTCAACGTTAGGTTTTTGGCAGAAAAAAAAATGGATTGTGTCCATTTTTTCTAAAGGATTAATTTTTTGGGATGAGGCACTTCTCAACTCCCTATCAAGGGCTTTGCCCTGTGGACCTGCCCCTAGACCCTTCCAAGAGGGATGCCGCTTGGAACCCTACAAAGGTCACTGTCACTGGACCCAAATTGTTCCCGAGTCTTCTTTGTTTATACGAGCGTGCACTTTACACCTCCTATCTCGGAATATAACTAAAAGGTACTCGAGTTGTCTCACATAGAATCCTAATACCTCTATCCATATCTCCCAAACTCTCCATATCTCCGACCATATCGAATTCTTTCTCTCTCTCTCTCACCTACACTAAAACGTTTGACCGTGCCAACAAAGCAAACCACCTCCCTCTATCTTTTTATCATCTGCAACTCCAGTGACGATGACGACACTACTTGAATCGGTGACATCTAAGGCATCAAGGATGGGGGTGGGCAGGGGCGGAGGTAGTAGGGGGCAGACAGGTACTCAGTCCCCCTAACTTGTCCTC